AGCCACGCCCCTTTTGCACCTAGGCCACACCCCTTTGTAGCCAAACCCCGCCCCTTTACACCCAAACCTCGCCCCTTCCCTTCACCACGCCCCCTTCTCCCCCTCTACCCAACCCCAGCCCTTGTATCTGTAAACCCCGCCCCCCCTTCATAGCCACGCCCCTCCCCGCTTCCCCCGACCATGCCCCCTCCACCTTAACCCCGCCCCAACTCCGCCCCCAGCCCCGTCTCCAGTCTCCGCCCACGGGCCGGGCCGCAGGTGAGTGTCAGGGTGGGGAGGGGGGGATTTGGGGGGATTTTGGGGTGCGGACCCCCCTGACCCCCCCCTCCCTCCCCAGGGCCACCCCTGGACCCGTTCTGTGGGTGCCCTGGGCCACCCCGGCACTGCCCAGGGCCGCCTCTCCTGGTGAGACCCCAAAACCCCATGGGGGAACCCCAGAGCCCCCCAAGGGACCCCAATGGGTCTGCCCCTGCTCTGGGGGGACCCCAAAGCCCCCCTGTGTCCCCCTAATGCCCCTTTTATGCCCCTTTTCCCCCTCAGTGGCCCCCAAGACCCCCTAAGGGACACCTATGGGTCTGCCCCTGCTCTGTGGGGACCCCAAAACCCCCCTGTGTCCCCCTAATGCCCCTTTTCCCCTCCCTCAGTGCCCCCCGTGACTGGGACAAGCGAGGGGCAGGTACTGGGATGAACTGGGAGGGCCTTGGGGGGGGACTGGGATGAACTGGGAGGGGCTTCAGGAGCTGGGAGGGACTGGGAGGGGTTTGGGGGCACTGGGAGGAACTGGGAGGGGTTGTTGGTTCGGTGGCCACCCCCCAAACCCAGTAGCCACCCCTCAAATTCAATAGCCACGTCCCAGATTGGGTAGCCACGCCCCTCAACCCAGTAGCCACCCCCAAACCCAGTAGCCACCCCCCAAAACCAGTAGCCACTCCTCAAATCCAGTAGCCACCCCTCAAATCCAGTAGCCACGCCCCTAAACCCAGTAGCCACCCCTCAAATTCAGTAGCCACCCCCCAAATCCAGTAGGCACCCCCTTGTATTCAGTAGCCACCCCCCAATCTCGTAGCCATGCCCCCAAATCCAGTAGCAGCCCCCCCCCCCATTTGGAATCCACGCCCTCAAATCCAGTAGCCACCCCCCAAATGCAGTAGTCACCCCCTCAAATTCAGTAGCCCCGCCCCCAAATCCAGTCGCACCCCCC